TGTGTGTGTGTGTGTGTGTGTGTGTGTGTGTGTGTGTGTGTGTGTGTGTATAGGTGTTTCTAATGGTTTGACTGAGTGCATATAAACTTGTTCTAAAACATTCACACATATCTGATAACACCTGCATGATTCCTGCTACAGTTAAATCCTTAAGCTTTTAGAAAATGACACAATTCTGCACACCACAAGAGTGGATTTCAAATTAAACAATGAAGATGTAACAGCTTCAGCTTTGATTCAGCAGGTTTCACAGACATTTTGCCATAACTGTTTAGCATTTACAGCCATTGTCAGAGGCTCAGGGGTGCACAAATTAAAAGTCTAATTTAAGTTTAATGAGTGTATGAAACCAACAGTTTGACTATAAATTATGCTGGAATGCTCACATAAATGAGCTAAAAACAAACTATTGCAAAAATGTATAAAACAAGACATTTTAAATAAGAAAATTAACACACATGCTATATTGATCCTAATAGGTATCAGAATCAGAATCTGAATACTTTATTGATCCCTGGAGGAAATTATTTTTTGTTACAGTGCTCCATTATAAACCAACATTAAGACAAGACAGACAATACACTAACTAAGAATAGTACAATATATACATATATATACACATACATACATACATAAGTCACTCATAAAAAAATAGCTGGAAAAGAAACATGTGTAGTTGTAGCAGCAAACAGTGTGTTAAGTGGATGCGTTGTACAGGGAGATGGCCACAGGCAGGAAAGATTTCCTGTGTCGTTCAGTGGTGCTATATAAATATATGATCTACTGTGTGGAGGTTTGCACAAACGTATACACAACCAACACTAATCCAGTTTACATACTATAGAAGAGTTATAAATTGATTATTAAGAAGAAACCAGCAGAATATTCATAAAACTCGATGCCTTAAAATTAGTAAGTGGATCTCAGCACTGCAACAACATGCTTTACAAACTTTATTTACATGTTTGTTTGTTTTTAATTGGAGCAGGAAAAAAATGAGAAAACTAACTTCAAAAAAGATTTTTCACTATGTAAATAAAAAATGCTCAAAAATCAGGCAGTAAACAAATATAAAACTGGGGTACAGTATGACTGTTTTTGTTCTAGTTCAGTCCTAATATTGCATCATCTTTGGTGTTTGTTTTGGTGAAACGAAATGTAAAAAGCATAGGTGTAATTAAGCTTCAGCCTACACCTTTTGGTTAATAATTTGTGTTCTTCCCATTGAATTAAATTCAATTGTGAGCATTTGTTTATTTATTTAACATCTTATTTTATGTTGTTTTAAAAAAGAAACCGTGTGTCTAGAATCACAGACCAGAATCACTAACGCTGGTTAATAGAAAACCACAGACTGCACCTATGACACAGACAAGTTTCAAACAGATACGACATATGGACAACTGAAAGGTCACATGACAAATATTTACAAAAGCCTGGAAACTGACTAACTTGATGACAGCAGACATCCTACCTGCATCCAGGTACTTAGAAAGGCTGCTCTGCAGTGAGGGTACAGGCAGGGGCGGCAGACTGTTTTGGTACTGAAAGGTTTGCTCCGGCAGAGACTGAGACAGCTGATTTGCCATTTCCTTTCCCCCTGTCACAAAAGAAACATTATAGTGATATGAAGCAGAGCCTTTCCACGCTTTATATCACTGATATACCAGGGTGGGGGTACTTATATAATAGACAAACCTTGATAACACTAATTATTCTTTGTTTTTTGCGGATACATTTAAAAGCAGTTATATATTTGTTTTAATACTGAAAAATAACAGCACTATAAACCATTTGAAGACCCTGTGATTATGACTGGTTTTGCTTTGAACACATGAATCTTTTGTGGTTTATGACATTTAAAAAAAAAACCATTGTAAAACATTTAAACTGTGCATTTCATAGCATTTTACCTTCAACAACCACCTTATCTAGTACTTAAAGCAGCAACACCTGGATAATAAGCTGACAATGCTGAAAGCGCATTCATCATTACTTCCAGTTAAAACACTCATATTATTTATTGCCTTGGGTAACAGATTTAAAACAACAGTAAGGCTTGCACTGTGTAAGTCTCAAACATGAGCAGTTGCATACTGTGTCACAGTGACAGCTTTGACATGTTTCTGAACAAAACTCAGCAAATCCTGAGCTCAGCTATCAGCACCACATTAAAACTATTAAACTCCTACCTCTCCGTACTCGGGCAGAGACCTGTTAGTGCAAACGACCAAACTGTTTACAATAAACACTTATTAACCGGGTAACACTGAGCTGATAAGGTGCACTCGCTCGTCTCGCCCCTGTCGGCGTTAATGTCGAGTGCAAACGCAAACAATAGTTGAGGAGCAGCTCGTTAGCTTACTTTAACTGCACTGTAAAGATGGACTGTTAGCTCCCGTTGCTCACCTGCCGCGGGCTCTGGAGGCTTTCAGCGCAAATGTTGTGAACGTGCGGGTTTGGTTTCTTATATAAGCCGGTGTAGCAGCCGTTCAGTTGTTGTGCTGGACTGCAGCTGTAGCCCTTCACCTTTACCCCACTAAACCATAGACTCAAGCCAGCCCGGAACAGCTCACTGCGCATGCGCGGGCAATTGCCCTGGCTTGAATTACTTATGAGTGAAATAATAAAGAGGCTTTGAAGGGTGAGGTCAGGCAGGCAGTGTGTGGCAACAACCTAAAACTTTGGAAAGATTAGGCCTGAAAAATACATGAAACCACACCTTTCAGCGGATACTTTATTAGATACACCTGTTTATGTAATCAGCCAATCACACTGCACCTCAAAGCATTTAAGGGACGTTGACGTGAACAAAAGGAGCTGCTGGAGTTCAAAGCGAGCATCAGAATGAGGGGGAAAGGTGATTTAAGCAATTTTGAATGTGGTGTGGTTGTTGATCCCAGATGGGCTGGTCTCAGTGTTTCAGGAAATGCAGATCTACTGGGATTTTCCGACACAGCCATCTCTACTGTAACTGCAATAACAACTGTATGCAGAAGAGCATCTCCAAATGCAGATGAGCTTCAGCTGCAGAACACCAAACGAGATGCCGCTCCTGTCAGCTATAAACAAGAAACTGAGGAAACTATAGTTTATAGTCTGCACAGACTCTCCAAAATTAGACAACAGATGATTGGAAAAACATTGGCTGGTCTAATGAAACAACATGAAAGCATGGATCCAGCAGGATAATGGACTGTGTCACAAAACTAAAATAATCTTAAGCTGGTTTCTTGAACGTGACAATGAGTTCACTGTACTCAAACGGCCTCCACAGTCAGCAGGTCTTAACACAAGAGAGCACCTTTGGGATGTGGTACAGTGGGAGATTTGCATCATGGAAATCTGCAGCAACTGTGTGATGTTGACTTATTTTAAAACATTTCCAGAAAATTGTTGAATCTATGCCACGAAGATGCCGGCAGCTGTCAGGACACCAGCAAAACAAAAACTAGAAAGAAACCAGTAAGGAGGATGAGGAGAGAGCAACCGTCTGTGTCCACCAGCTTGAACTTTGAGGGTTGTGGTGTTGCCTCTCCAGTGCACCTGTTGTCCACTTAGGTTGGCACCAAAGCATGTGTTGCAGGTGTAGTTCCAGCTAAGACAACTCTTTTAAGTATGAATAACTGTATGTCAATCAAAACTTCCCGTAATCATTTGCACAGACCACAGTTGGGCCTCTTCATGAATAAAACCTAAAATCCTTTCTCTGTGTAAAGATTTTATGCAGGTTGTTTTAAACTGAAACTGAAGGCAAAAAATAAATAAAAAATCAACCTCTCAATAAAAACAAGCACAAATGAAAGAAAGGAAACAGTGCAGAAAAAGGTTTAATCTTCAAAACGTGTTTGTTCACATTTGCCAACATTTAAATTGTCCTGTTTTGATTCAAGCTGCAAATCTAAGTCCAGTATGCAGTACATATAGAAAGATTAATATGTTAAAGACTGCATAGATATCGTTAAAATGCATAAATCAATTGAGCTATGTAATTCAAAAAATCAAGGATAGAAAGACTTTTTTTTAAAATCACATTATTTTGCAGAATTATGGCCTCTGGAAGCAAAGCTGCTCTTTTAAGTAAAGAGCAGCTTTGTTTTAGTAGTCTGAATTAGTAGTCTGTTTTCATCGCTGCTGCCTCTTCACTTCATGGACGTCTCACAGCCCGTACTTGCTGATGACTTCTTTAGCCTTTGTGACATAGGCCGACATGGCGTCATCCTTGGACATTCCTGAAAGAGTTCAAATTACGAGTGATTTGGGCTTAAATAATAATGTCTTAAAGGAGTTTTCTCCTATTTGTATACATGCTTACATAGCCTTTCTCCCATAGCACTGAAAAGCTGGTTAAACTATGGGAGAGATTTTTCATGATGAAGATGCTTAGATAAGATCAGGTCTGTTTATTGGTAATAAATCTAAAAAAACCCTAAAAAGCTTCCTTTCATGAGCTCAACAGGTTCTGATGGCGACCGTGGCTCAGGGGGTTGGGAAGCATATCTGTAACCAGAAGGTCGCTGGTTCGATCCCCGGGCTCTGTCCTGGTCGTTGTGTCCTTGGGCAAGACACTTTACCCTACTTGCCTACTGGTGTTGGCCAGAGGGGCCGATGGCGCGATATGGCAGCCTCGCTTCTGTCAGTCTGCCCCAGGGCAGCTGTGGCTACACCTGTAGCTGCCTCCTGTGAACGTGAGAGTGAATGAATAGTGGTATTGTAAAGCGCTTTGGGTGCCTTGAAAAGCGCTATATAAATCCAATCCATTATTATTATTATGATAAATCACCACCATGGAAGCTGGCATCTGGGTTGTGTTTTTGTTACGGTAATGTGTAAGTAAAGATATAAAACTTTAAAAAACTGGATTTTTAAAAATCTGTGTGTATATGCGTGCAGTGTTTTTGGGATCATTATCATGCTGCCAGATTATAAACTGTGTCATGAATACTTCTGTTAAAAAACTGTGTTATCTTTGGCTTTTTTCATAGCTTCAGCAAAAGACATGTGAACAAATGATGCATTTGTGCAACAGGCTGCTAGTAACAAAGGGCCTAAAGATAAAGATTAAAAATGGTACTTTGATCAGTTGTCTCTCGATCGTTTCTCGAGTTAGGTAACTTTTTATTTCTTGAATGATTCAGTGCTAAATTGCTTAACAAATAAAACAGTTCCTCTGAAAATGGTCAGGTACAAGGACTGGACTGAAAATGAGTTAAAGGAGCAAACAATGTCCAAAGGCAAACTTTGAAAGACCTTCAGAAAGCCTGGAGAGCTATTGCTCAAGATCATTTACATGGTCTGAGTCATTGGAAGAAAAATACAAAGAAATGAGTGGAGCTCAACACCACCCTTTGACTCTTTGCACAAGTGTGATGTCACTAAAAATGAACCTATTACAACAAAAAACCCAACAAAATCTGCGTGTAGTCACCTTTTTCTCAAGTACTCAACACTAAACACAGACTTGCAGAAACAGCTCGTGTGCAGCTAAATCATGTTAACCTGCAAATGCCTTAACTCAACATTTTTTAGGGTAATTTTACTTTAAAAAATACATTTTTAAAAAATCAATGAATAAGTGAGTAAAATTAAAACGTTCGTGTGATGTTGGATGAAACTAAGTGGTGAAAATATTTGGATGTTTTGACAATGACTAACTTCTAATTTCCTAAAAGTTACCTCCTGTGAGTCTTAGTTGACACTGAACACACCTCATTTGGAGCAGATTCCTCCATGTTTGCAGAGGAGCAAAACTCAGTTGAACTCATGCTCTATAAACATGTTTTACAAAATTCATCCTCATGACTTACACCTGTGGACTCAGCAGGTTTTGAGTACTAAATAGACAGGCAACAAGGAGGTGGAGCCCCTCCAGTCTGCTTGCGTCCTTGCATCCAGTGGAGTGTAAATGTGTGTGTGTGGCTCGTAGTGTAAAAGAACCAATTCCTTTACCTTATTTTGTACAGACAAATACCAAAAACTGTTCCAGCTGCAAACTTGGCAAAAAATATCTGTCTCATATATCCTTGTATGATCTATAACCTGCTAATGAATCACTTTCCCAGCACCTTCAGTTAAAGTGTTTAGTTCTCGTGGACAAATGTAACAATCACAAGCTTTCCTAACTCGTTACCTTTCCTCGACTCCCAGGCGTCCCACTTGGCCTTTCCTTTTAGGTCCAGCATTCCCGGTCTCTCTACAGTTGTGAAAGCACACAGAGAGAAGGAAAAAAAATCTGAACTTAATGAACTCTTTATGGGAGTGATTCAGTTTCTCTGTAGCGGTTCCTACCAGTGTTAATGTCTCCAACAACCGCCTGTTTATAAAGGCCATACAGGAACAGCAGCTCCTCGTCTGTGGGCTTGGCCTTCACCTTCTTCACATCCTCTGCTGCCTTGTCAAATTCTGCCTGCAGGTGACATGAACACTCTTTATGTTTGCCATTAATTATTCAGAAAACATAAGCAGTGTGTCTGCGATGGGAAAACACTGGACTGGAGGCTTTCTTCTCTTTGCAATAAAGTCCAGCAGGAATGTAAAGTAATTACATCGAATACGAGAGTGTGCATATTAATGAGTTACAAGCACTGAATAAGAAATGTGAGTGTGGTATTCTAGGCACGGGGCAGTCCTGGGAAACTGATTGTTGCACAAGCTGGAGATAAACAATGGGCTTTTATATGAGACCAGAGCCTGTGTGCCCACTCAAATAATCTGCTTTTCAAAGGATCTGGGACACAGCAGAACTGATAATTATAGACCACAGGAACCATTTTTAATATGCGCAAAGACCTAAATACCTTTTAACTCTTTACTGAGGTGCGGCTGAAATATATAATGATCCAGCTCTGAATGCTGACCATTGGTCAAAAAGCGGATGTTTGCATATAGATCCAGTTTACCTCCGCATGTTCTCATAGAGACAAACTCTGAATCTAGTGAATTTTCATCATGTTTTCATATTTTCTGCTTCTAAGCAGCACATCTTTAAATTCTAAGAGCAGCATCAGGACCGCTGAGCCGAGAGCATTAACGCGTTTAGGCACGACTTTCCTTCATCCACGCCGTCAAAGATGGATGACTTCATACGGCCAGAAGATGGCATGCGCTGTTCGGTTCATCGCGATAATGTAGCATCTAATAAATAATAATAACAATAATAAAAGAGCAAAGAAACGCAGGATTTTACCTGGAGGGTCATCTTGGTAAAGGTTGGGAGCGCAGATGAATGTCCTGCTCTGAAGGGTTTTAAGCAGCAGTAATTGCAGCACAGCTGATCGATGCACTATTGAGAGCCAAGCAGAGGCTTGCAAGGGGAGGGAGCAGACAGCTGCGGAGGTGCTGATTGGCTGCCTGTCACCCTCACTCACAGCGACACGCACACGCACACAGACTTTAATAAAGTGGGGAGATATGGTGGACTATGGCACCTAGTCCACTGACTACGTCGATTTTATGACGTGTCATTTGCAACAGTGTAATAAATTTAGGGAGATATGATCATATCAGTTCAGCAGGATTAATACAACCTCTACCACAATATGCTTCCTACACAGAACTCCATGTAAAAATATTTTTTTTTAAATCTGCCCAAAATTTCATTATGTGAATGTGTATTATTATTATTTGATTTGATTTTTTTGTTCCACAAGTACAATGTGAAATGTTTCAATTATTGGAGTCTGCTCAAATGAAATTTACTTGGTTCGTGCATATTCAGTTTATACGAAACACATTTCCCTTAACGATGAAGTATTTGAATAAATAAACCTTTTATTTTATATGTTTCATTTTATTCATATTATTGCTACGTGTAAAAAATCACTTTTGAGTGCATTTAAACCAATTGATTAATTGGTTTAGAAAAGCCTACTTTCTATTTCCTGTGCTCGTGCACTTTTACTCCAGCGGATTCATGAAGGAGACTTCATGCACTTTTCCCTACATCAGACAC